TACTATAACTACTACTACCACTGCTACTACTACTACCAGTACTACATTGTATAATTGTAGAAAAAGTAGTAGTAGTAGTAGTAATAGATGTGAAAATATTTGTAGTAGTAGTAGTTGTTGTTATAGTAGTAGTAGTAGTAATAGTTGTCGAAATATTAGTAGTAGTAGTAGTTTTTGTTGTAGTAGTAGTAGTAATAGTTGTCGAAATGTTAGTAGTAGTAGTAGTTTTTGTTGTAGTAGTAGTAATAGTAGTAGTTGTAGTAGGTGTAGAAGTATTATTATTAGTAGTAGCACTAGTTGTTGTTGTAGTAGTTGTAGTAATAGTAGTAATAATATCACAAAAAAAGCAAAGAGTTATGAAATCCCGACTGAAAATTTATATATAAACCTTTTAATTTTAATGTTTCAGTTGTGGCTTTTAAAATTCTTTAAATCTGTGCAGGCGATAATTGAGCTGGCGTCTCTTGTTAGCAAATCTATCAAATTGATCTGTCGTTCGATGATTGTCAGCCTTCATGTTGATGTTGTTGTTGATGTTGTTGTTGATATTTTTGTTGACGTTATTTGTGTTGTTAATGATGTTATTTATATTGTTGTTGTTGTTGCTATTGATGTTATTTGTGTTGTTAATGATATTGTAGTTGTTGTATTCGTTGTTGATGTTTATGATTTTGTTGATGATATTGTTGTTTTGTTGTTGTTGATGTTATTTTTGTTGTCTGTGTTGACGTTGTCGATGTTGTTGTTAATGTTAAAAATTGGCTACATTTGTTGAGTCTTTGGTTGTGTATATATGTTATTGTTGTTGAGATGCGTGGCTGAGGCTTTTGTTATTGCTGTTGTTAAAACAATGGTTGAAGCAGCTGCTACTACTGCTACTACAGCCTACTACCACTCCTAACACTACTACTTCCACCACAATCTCAAGTACCACTATTACTACTATTACTACTACTACTACTACTACTACCACCACCACTACTACACTACTACTACAACAACTACTAATACTACAACAACAACAACTACTACTGCTACTATACTACTACAACACTATAATTATTATTATTATTATTACTACTACTATTACTACCACCCACTACTACTACTACTACTATTACTACTACTACTACTACTACTAATACTACTACTGTATGATTCCCAACCACTATTGTTATTATTATCACCACTATAACTCCAACAACTAACTTAACAGTAGAACCACTAGAAATAAGCCCAATAATAATAATAATAATAATAATTATTATTATTGCAATAAAATGCGATTCAGTGGCAGCAGCAGTAGCCAGCAGGGCCACCGACGAGCGACACCAACGTCATATTTTAAGTACTTTTGGTTGGATTTTTGGTATTCCGAAATATTTCCAGCTCGGCACGTTGTTAAACTTATAAAGTACTATCGTAGACTGAATTTTAAGTTCATTGTTATTATAAACATTATTATTATTATTATTATTATTATTATTATTATTATTATTATTATGATTATTATTATTTTTATGATTGTTATTATTATTATTCTTGTTATTTGAATATAGCTGGCAGTGTTGTTTCATTTGGCCTGAGTGTTTGAGGAGGAGAGGATGTCTGCCCGCCTGGCCTTCAAGCTTGCTGTTCTTCCAACAACTCACAACTCACTCACGCTGATGATGACGACGACGACAATGATGATGATGATGACGATGGTGACGATGATGATGATGATGGTGACGATGGTGATGATGATGGTGACGATGGTGATGATGATGATGAAGATGATGATGATGATGATGATGATGGTGACGATGGTGACGATGGTGATGATGGTGATGAAGATGGTGATGATGATGACAGTTATGTCGTTATTAACGGCTACAACATTGATGATGATATTGATGATAATAATGATAATGATATAATGCTGACCGACTGATGATGATAATGACGATGATGATGATGACGGTGATGATGATAATGATTTCAAGTGGTTATAATCTGCTACCCATTAGGCTGCTTGGGATGATGCTGATGTACTTAGAAATAATGATTTGATGATGATGATGATGATGATGATAGGTTGATGATGATGACGACGACGATGACGATGGTGGTATGCTTGTGATGATGAAATGATGGCGATGATGATGTTATGATGATAAGGTAGTGTTGTGAAAATGTTGTGATATGATGACGTCATGATGATGTCATGGAGATGGTGATGATGTCATGATGATGACGGGGTGAAGAGATGACCCGGTCATGTGATAATTGTTGATGTTTGAGTGATGTAGTAAAGTTTAGGTGTGATGATGCCGTGATGAAGACGGTGGTTAATGTTGCCATGTGATGAAATTTTATTTTCTATGTGAAGATGGAAAGATGAAATGACCAGCAACAATTTTGTACCGTCGAAACGTTTGGCGACCACTCGGCAGGGGGGAGATTGTTTAATGACTATGCATGCCTTCCATTGTTTTTAGTAAGTTCTTTAACGTGGTTCTTTAACAAATGACTTTAAATTGTAGCACTGCTCTAGTTTCTTCTCTTCGTCTTCACCATCACCATCATCACCACCAGTCCACCACTACCATCATCATCATTACCACCATCATCTAACCACAATCATCATCATCACCACCACCATCATCATCATCAACACTATTTTTTCACATCAATCAATTCTGGCACTTCTCACATTGTTGGAACGGTTGCAACAAATCTTCAGACGAACACATACACACGCACATACACACGCACACACAGTGTTCACGAATACGCGTAAAAACCACGTATCACCGACTTTGCCTATGATTTTTTTTCTCCGCCTATGAACGTTTATGCAATTGAACCGGGTCACCGCGGAGAAGGAGCAGGCACCATTAACCACTGAGCCATCACGCCACCAGGACTTTTTCTAGTTTAAATGCTGTTAAACTAGTGGATAAAAACATTTGGTTTCAGTTAGATAACAAAAAGGTTTGTATCGCGTAACTTATCCAGTTTTATTTCTAGAACGTAGAAAATAATTTGCATATTTGAAAAAGATGGTGGGAATTGTTCGTGAAAAAAACTATCTCATCGCAATAAAAAAACCCAGTTGGAAGGAAGGACAACCGAAATTTTCAAACTCTAATTGAATGATTGAACAATTTAACAAAAGGAGGAAATGCACACGCAATGATGTAGCATGTTCATATAATGATGTAATGCTAATGTAATGATGGAATGTTATTGTAATGATGTAATGTTAATGTAATAATGTAATGTTAATGTAATGATGTAATGTTAGTGTAATGATGCAATCTTAGTGTAATGATGTAATGTTGATGTAATGATGTAATGTTATTGTAATGATGGAATGTTAATATGACGATGGAACTTTAATGTATTGAAGGAATGTTAATGTAATAAAGGAACGGTTAACGTGTTGATGGGACCGGGACCTGCGAAGTTGTTGACGTAGTTGGAACCTTTCCACACTGAATATTGAATCGAAATCACCGACAGAGAATAAACTTTAAAAACTGAGATGTAAAAAATATCTTATCAGGTGTCGGGGGAGACAGAGATGAAGCTGATCGCATATTTATGACATCGTCTGAGTTACTTGCTTCGGAAGAATGTGAATGTTTTGAAGTAATGCACGACACAAGAAAATCTACTCACACTTCAATCTAATAATCACTTCTGCAAAATGCACTTTACATAATTTGTGCAATAATGTAATTTGAATTTATCCCAACATGCGTTTGAACCAAATCAGAGAGCGACTGATTCATTTGAAAGTTTGTGTGCGACCTGCACCTTTACCGTTTGAGCTAGCACGCTGTACGTCCATCTTGGTGATGTCATTTGATGTCCAGCTCTATAATAGGATTAGGATGTGATGAAGATGAGATGAGGATGAGGTGAATGATGATGATGATGGGGGTGATGATGATGATGATGCTGAGGTTGTTTTGTTTACCTGGAAAATAAAGTTTGTTTGTGATGAAAACTTCACTCAACTTCACGTTTTTTTTACTTTTTAATTCACGAGTGCAATAAATTGGCAGACAGAATATTAAGTAACCACCTTGTTGTTAACGTACGATAAAAAATTGTTCAAACTACTGTTTTCAAATCACTCTTATTTTAAAAGGCACAGCACAATATATAAATACATAATAAAACTAATATGAAAGCAATACAATCCAGCATGTCCTATATATTTCAATGAATCACGCTAAGCAAACATTCCTGCTGGCAGAAGAAATGTTTATTTTAATTTGCTGCCGAGGAGAATTTGATCTCATGAGAAGGTTAAGCATGTAGAGACTGAGCTATTAATCGAATTATTAATGCTACCAGCAAACAGACATGAAATGTCTTCAATGTAATTCAATATTAATCCATTTCTTCTCATTTATAAATTTAGATTTCACGGAAAGATTTTTAAATGATGTAGCTAATGAATGCTTCTTCATAAAGGTTTTTTTTCATTCTCTGCACAGCATTAGCTTAGATAAAAATTTCTTGACCGTTTGAAAACTCGAAAAAAAATCATTTCATTGTGTAGAAGTCATTCATTCATTTATTCACTCATTGCGGTTCAATTAAGATAAGTTGCAATGCTAATTGGCAGATAAGTTTGGAGGATCAGAGCAGCTGTAAATTATGACGAAAACACTTCAGTTCTGCCTTCTTCAACCATTTATAAAACCAACCAGCCAACCAAACACTCGAACTTTGAACGCATCTGAATAAATATAAAATTCTTGCAACAGTTAGTTCAAATTTGTTTCAATGTATTCAGTTCATTGAAAAAAACATGGGTCAAATTAAAACAGTTTTTTAAGAAATGGGGAAGTTTAAAGAAAAAATTATGAATTGAACAAAAAATAAAATAAATTTATCGCGGAAATGAATGAAAATAAATTTAATTTGAAATACGC